ATCAGACAAGCCTAATCATAAGGGATCTAAGCGTAACCATGTACAGTTGCAGTGGCATCACACACGTGTAAATAGCTCGGCAATTTGATAAGGTGCAGTGTGTTAAGAATATCGCATGTCTTACGGTAGTCATTTCTGAGCACGCGATCCTGGTAATTTCGTGATCAGCTGCAGTAGTGCAGGGGCAGAGGTAATACTTCCAGTTTGGTAACAGTCTTAGCGTTGCCACGTAAGCTTAGAAGGCGTGTTCCAGATTTGCATGCGGTTTTGAGCTAAAATAACCTGCTTGCCCGACAGACAAAATAGTTTCCTCTGTCCAATAAGTCATGTTCATGATTTATGCCATCCCTGTTTTTCGAGCCATTAGAACTTGGATCATGCAGATTATGATGATACGATATCAAAATGAAATGCGATCCTCACCATCAACGCCGTTAATGTTAATGGTGTTCGAAAGTAGAAAAGATCTAACGGACGCATTTTATGTATTTAACATTTCTTTATCGGTGCAATGAGTGGTCTGCAAACTCCTTAGCTATCCATTGCATATTTGGATAGCATGGACCGGTATCGTGATTAAAAAAAACTTAACAACTTTAAAAAGTGCTTCATAGCTACCTGTTCTGGGTCACGTGCTTGTTTTGAATGTTGTTTGGCAACCAGCAGGCTTATAAACCAAGACCAGTAAGAGGACTGGGATTGTCAGACGGTGTCTTCTTATACATAACGCCTAAATCTATGACGGCAGTCTTTGACTTCCCTTAGTGCGCCGCTGTAAAGCATTCATGTGGTGTAATGAAGTCCACTATGTTTTACAGTTTCAGCACATGCAGAGTATATCATCATTGAGGAAACGCATTTCTTCGCACAATGACTTATAGCTTCTATATATTTTGTAAATGTATTTTCCTGTTACGCTTGTGGTCGCCATTGAACTGAAATGCTTTGTTTAACATGACATTTGTCACCATATTTTGTATTGCATACCTTGCCTTTTTTACATGTGATGTCTTTAGCGTACATGTTGCTGCGCTGGCATTTTAACCTCAGTGAATGTTTTACTTGGGTCATGTGCCTGGTGTCAACTTTCGCTCATTTCTCAGTCGACTATTCGTAAAAAATTGTGTTAGTATTCTAGTGTAATTATTGATTCGTGGGGATGTTGAAAACATCGCTTTGTTTGTGCCATGCATGAGTTTTGTGTTTGGCAGACTTTTATTTGAAAACCTAGCTATTGCCGAATAAACATTAGCATCTTCTGTCCTAGGACCCGTGGTGACATCCCTAGTTTTTAGGACTTGCATGCTTGCCGTTTGTCGGCACCCGCAATGTCCCCAGCTTGTGAACCCAACCTTCCCAGCTTGGTGTGGGTACTCGCCGGTCTGCTGCAGCCCATGAAAGCCTTTAGCAATGACCCATGGTGTTGAAAGACGGCTTGCAGATCACATTGCGGGCCACTGCTTTATTATTTGTGCTTCAAATTAATGGGTGCACATGAAAAATGGCAGTGCTTTAACGAACATTTATGATACTTCTACGTCGAGGGAAATGAAACGTTGTTTACCTGTGGCTGGGAGGCAAGTTCGCGTGATGCAGCCTGTGCTTCGAGGTCTCCTCATCTGTTTGGCCGCTTTTTTCCGGTAATGCTTCATTGTCCATTGGACCATGGCTCAGAATAGAGCTTTCAATATTGTAATTGCTTTTTATTGCCCAATTTATGCAACTAAATCTCTTCAACGGGTTGAATTGGCTTGATGGTAAAGCTTCCCGTCTAATCGTCGCGTCTAATCTAATCGTGTGCATTTCACAGATCTAGTATGTGCTCTGCAAGGGTTGTAAGCTAGAGCTGTGGATACGTTGAAATTTTTTATTGCAAGCCTATGATGGGTGGGTTTTAGTATTCTACTTTTTAAAGATTTGAATGTTAATTTTTAAGATTCGAATCCTCGTTTTCAGGATGTGGGGCTTTTCCGGATCCAAAAATGTTTTGAATATTTTCGAATCATGCCAATCAGATAAATACCGTTTCCAGTGTGACATCCGTGGCGTCGTGTGAACACCGGCGCAGCTGGTTCATATCGCACTCGCGCTTGTCTCGTCCGGGGCGCATCTCATTGATATAATCAGAAGCCATTAGTTTGAGCGGTAAGAATATAGTAAAAAAGTAAACGCGTGCCATTGCGGAAGTACTTGGCTCCTTAACAAACTGATTCGTCGTTTTTCTTAACGCCAACAGAAAGTATCGGGGACTTTTGCGACCATTCCCTTGTTAATTCAAAACAAAGTTTTCAAACTAAGTTTTATGACCCGAGCTTTACTAACTGCCTGACAAACAATTTGTATTTCAGGCTGTTTCTAGCGCTTCGCAAAAAAAGCTAGTAGTACGATCTTAACGAGATCACGCTTACTAAAACGCCAATGGAGACAGCGTATATGTTGCTAGGTATATGTTAATTCACGGCGATTATCCAAGGAAAGAGCAATTATTCCTAAATATCCCACTATTTTTCGGCTTTGCAAGCCCATATTTATGAACCCATGTCACGTGGCCACATGAAACACACACACACACACACACACACACACACACACACACACACACACACACACACACACACACACACACACACACACACACACACACACACACACACACACACACACACACACACACACACACACACACACACACACACAAACGCATATGTTGCTTCTTTAATTACGAGCGCATGGTTATGTAGTTTTGTGCGTTTTGAGCACATATGTATGAAGTAAGCCTCCATTAATGTAGCAGTGTCGGCCCGCTACGAAGCGTTCGGTGGATTCGTTTGCATCCCATCATCCCGCGCCGGCGGTGGATCGCCGTGCAGTGTTCCTGAATACTGTCGGCACTCGGAAACCAGACATACCAGAAAAGACGTTCTTGTTGTCAAAATAGGTATAATGAAACATTCGTGGACTGCGGAAAATTAAGGCATAATTACAAGATACGCTGGAGAGAAATCCTCGGAAAACCTTGCAGGGTAGCATCTACCCCCTCACTCTGTGAGGCAAGCATTAGGGAAAAAGACACATACCCACCAAAGCGCATAGATATCACGGAACCCTGTAATCCCCAAAACGCCTAGAACCAAACCATCCCCACAAAGCTTAACGCTCCGAACTCAATTGGAAATTGGTAAAAATTGAAACTCTAACGGAAAATAATGACTATTTTTGTAGTTTATTCAGCTAGCAAAAAAGATAAGCCAGTTGACGTGTTAGCGGCCTAATGGGTTCATGCTCACCTATGGTTTCACCTATCAGTTCTTATTTCCCGTCTGGTTGTTCTTGCCATCAAGCATTCCACTGAACTGAGTTTTCAGCCTTTTCCCGTGGCGACAGATTTAACCCATTTACGATCAAGGTCATACACTTAAGCAAAGCATTTCCGTCACGCCAGAAATTAGAGACTCCCATACATTATGCAGAGACACAAATGTCTAGCCTGAAATACGGTTGTTCAGTTATTCCTTGGTAGAACGCACGTCACATAATCCATTATTATGCACACACGCACGTGCACACACGAATACACACGCTTAAAACATGAAAAGCAATCATGCATATCTTACTACAAAGCAGATGTACAATTTACGCAAAATTTCACGCTTAGATTTTTAGAATACCTGAGCCGGAAGAAATGGAAGGCAAATGATGCACATTAGAAGTACATTGAGGGACTTGGACGCATTTTTCCGGACATAGAGTTAGCATAGCGTGAGACCGCGCCTCAAAATTGTGCAAAGGTGGTTTTTAACAGTCTTCCAGTTTTCCGTTATGCAGTTTTTAGTTTTGAATACGTCGCGCAAAAGTGTGCTCAAAGCACCATCGCATTGGAAAACATTAATGTCTCGTCTATTAGCCTGCGCATACAGTGCAAGAGTGTTAACCACGGGCCTGAGCATGCTATTCAATATAATTTTGAAATTAGCAGCATAGGCTGAAATGTTAAACTTTAGATAATGGGCATGGCATGCTTTCGGAGGCTCAAGCGGCAGCTACAGTTTGTATTGTTACGGTAAAGGTTTTAATTGATTCATGGTACCAAAAACAGCTGACAGGAAAAGTACAGTCCGTGCCCCCACTCGGGCGGGGTACTTCTGACATTAATATTGTCAGGAACGGTAGAATTGATCTTCTTACCAAAATTGTTTTGGTCGATAAAGGCATAACTTTGACAAAAACAAGAAACCCCCAGGAGGCCTGATTCTTCGGATCTCCAAAGCCACCCTAGATTTATCCACTAATTTATTGGAAATTCTGAAATGGTGACGCGGAACAAAGAATGCAGCCACCTCATGGTGTCACGGACGTCCCGCATCCCGGCGACGGCACCCCTCAGCGTGCTGTGTTCAGCAGCAAGAACCAACCCCCAGTTTCAGGTGTCACGGAACGTCGCACATCTCGGTGAGGAACCCCTCAGCGTGCTGTGGCAGCAGCCATCCCATGGTGTCACGGACGTCGCACATCTCGGTGACGGCACCCCTCAGCGTGCTGTGTCAGCAGCCACCCCATGGTGTCACGGACGTCTCACATCCCGGCGACGGCACCCCTCAGCGTGCTGTGTCAGCAGCCACCCCATGGTGTCACGGACGTCGCACATCTCGGTGACGGCACACCTCAGCGTGCTGTGGCAGCAGCCATCCCATGGTGTCACGGACGTCGCACATCCCAGTGATGGCACCCCTCAGCGTGCTGTGGCAGGGCCAGCGATCGATCATTGTTCCAATGGTGCCACAATCCACAGTTGGACGTGTGCTCCACATATATGTGGCAGACGTACTTTCTAAGCAATCACTTAACGCATCCCACTTAAAAGATCGCAGGCGAAACCAGCGCGCGCCGGGCTCCTGGTCTCAGTGACGTCAGCGCTCGCGACTGGAAGAGGCTCTGAAACACCTGCCGGTAGCCCGGCTCGGCTCTCAGTGTCGTACACCAGCCACTGAACCATCAGAGGCTCAAGTGGCCGAGCGCCGCCTGCGCGCTCCGTACTCAGCCCCGTCTGGCGGACAGCTGGTCTGCACCTCGTGCCGCCAGGCCTCGTTCATGCGAACGCCCTGCCAGAAGCGCACGCGCTCCTCGAACAGCCGCTCCCCGACCGAGGGCTCCGCATTGAGCCGCATGTGGCGCTGGCTGTGCTCGGTGAAGACAGGCCAGTCGGGCGTCGGCAGGACGGTTGAGCTGGGCCGACCGGTGCGAGCGAAGCTCGTCCACAAGCTCACCATGAAGCGGATCATGGTGTAGGTCGGCGAGTCGGCTGGGTACGCTGCCTGCTTTGCGTTGCTGAACAAGTACACCAAGTCATCGCCGTGCGTGGGATCCATGTACGGTGCATCAATTCCAAACAGCTCGGCGGCGGAGAGGCGACCAGGTCCTCTGTAATCCAGCACGTATTTGTAGACCGGCGCGTGGAGTGACGCGAGGACGCACCTCCTCCGACATGGGAGCAACAAACGGTCGGTCTCCCACAGCTCGAGCGAACGGCAGAGTGTTAGTACGGCTGAGTGTGTCATTGCCGACGTAGAAGTCAATCACTTTGGCGATCTCCACGTTTGAGTCCGATCCACAGTCCAGCGGAATGGCCCCGGACTCGCTGATAAAGCCATTTAGGATGCCCCATGTGATGGGATTTCCTGAAAACACACCTTCCGCCACTGATTTGTTTTGGAGAAAAAACGGAGCATACAGTGCTCCTTCCTCTTCCGCAATGCCGTTCATCCATGGAACCAGGTTGAATTCCCCATTCTTGATGAGATAACGCGGATCCTTTGGCAGCAGCGGCGATTCAGATTCGTGGTCCACCCGTGGATGAAAAAGCATTTCTAGCAGGCCTAGTTTCTTTTTAGCCTCCATGAGATCCCCGGAGGGGGCATTCCTTATGCACTCAACCATGATGGAAACATCGTCGGCAGAACAATTGAGCTGCTCCGCAAACTTCTGAGTGAAATCCTTCGCCTTGCCACCTGCTGCAAAGTTTGCCAATGCTGTACCTGACTGGCTGATGGCGTGGTGAAACAGGCCTTTCGCCAGGGGGCTCAGCACCAAAAGCGAGACACTGGTCCCTCCCGCTGACGTACCAAAAACGGTCACCGCACGGGGGTCTCCGCCGAATCTGGCGATATTATCCCGGACCCACTGCAGCAGCATCACCTGGTCCAGCAGACCGTAGTTGCCGGGAGCGCTTCTTATCGTGTGCCGTGAAGAATCCGAACAGTCCCAGTCGGTAGTTGAAGGTCACCAGCACCACAGCCTCGTCCATGAAATAGTTCGGTCCGTATATCTCCTCGTCTCCGTTGCCCATCATGAGGCTACCACCGTGGATGTAGACCATGACTGGCAAACCTCCAACGGCTCTCTCCAGCGCCGGCAGCTGCGGCGTGTACACGTTGGCGAACAGGCAGTCCTCGTCGCCCTCCAGACTGAAGTTCTTCAACGAATTGTACTGCAGACATGTGCTGCCGTGCTTGAGGCCGTCCAGCACGTCCGCCCAGCCCGGGTGGCGTTGCGGCGGCTGAAAGCGGAGTGGCCCGAGCGGCGCGCGCGCGTACGGGATCCCCTTGAAGCCGAAGAAGAGGCCGCCGGCGGCGCTGCGCCGCGCCACGCCCCTGACGATGCCCTCTCGCGTGGCGACCAGCGGGCGGGACTGCACGTCGGGGTAGCCGGCCGCTGCGGTCAGCAGCAGCGTCAGACTCAGCAGCACCGCCGGCGCGCTCCGTAGCAGGACGGCCATCGTCGCTGTGCGGGGGCCGACAATGCCGAGCGGGAGAGGGACGGGTGTGCTCACTCTCAGCGGGGCCGTGGCACTGACATGGGCCGGCCGAAGCTAGCTCCGTCGGCACATAAACTTCAACTACAGCAATAAACACACGAGCTCTGGACTGAGGTCCGCCATGAGCCGCTGGGACGTACAAATCCCACGACCTGATCTGTGCATGTCGGCGGCTCAGTTGCAAGCTGGATGGAACAGGCGCTCGTGATAATATATTCGTTCTCATGGGAGGAGCTTAGGGTTAATGCAGGACATTTTGGAGTGTGCGCTGCAGTCCACTTCTATGCGTCATGCCTCATCCGTCTCTGCTTGTATTCGCCGCCGTCACCATCACAAGCGATTTTTCCTGGACATGTGCCAGTCTAGCACATGTACGCGTCTAGCACTGCTAAACGCGTACGAAAGAGTAGAATGCCTCGCGTATAACCACATTCAGGGAGTAGCAAAACCAAATTCAGTCATGACACAAACCGAAGTCTAAGGATATAACCGTAGCCATCTACAGTTGCAGTGGCATCACACACGTGTAAATAGCTTGACAATTTGACAAGACGCAGTGTGTTAAGAATATCGCATGTCTTACGGTAGTCATTCCTGAGCACGTGATCCTGGTAATTTCGTGATCAACTGCGGCAGCGCGGGGGCAGAGGCATTACTTACAGTTAGGTAACAGTCTTAGCGTTGCCACGTAAGCTTAGAAGCCGTGTTCCAGATTTGCATGCGGTTTTGAGCTAAAATAGCCAACTTGAAGAGCATTTCGTACAGTTCACAGTCCTGCCCTTCTTCAGACCCAAAACCCCTAGTCTTTGGAGCTTCACGCCCGCAAGCATATGTGGCCTATTACGGGAGACTGTTTCAAGGTCACCCAGGCATCTTTGACGCCATAACTCTCATGGCGGCGTTCAAATCCTGCCATTCCATTACACATGTTACACATGACACAAGGCCAAGAAAAATGCAATTGTTGAGTCGTTTATATCTTGAGATCGTGAGCCCGATGTTCATATAAAATGTCCGTAAATTTGCTCTAAATCAATGTTGTGCTAGGTGCGATGGCGTAATTAATGACGTATTGAGCGGCAAATGTGTTAACAGAGATATTGTGATGTCTGGAACAGTATTTTCCACTTGCTCACACCAAAGGATATAAGTGAGCTTATCTCATGATATCTGGCACTTGCTGCAATATCTTCAGCTGTGGGACATTCCCTTTTAGCATTGTTGGAAACAGTCTGGTGTTCTGCAAACGCCAAGTGTTTTGGACGATCAAGTTTTTGATAATTTTTTGATACGATGATGATTTGGCTTTGGTGCGCACCGAGAACCCAAATCATCATCATGTCCAATAAGGAAAGCTTACAAAATTATCAAAAGCTCAATCGTCCAAAACATTTGGTGTCTGCATAATACCGGACTGTTTGTATCAATGCTAAAAGGGAATGTTCCACAGCTGAAGATACTGCGGCCGGTGTCAGATATCATTATTAATTTGGATAGTTTGCCATTCCTTACAACCATGAACTTGGAAGGTGTAACCATTAAACTTATGAAATAAGTTCATCATGCAGTTAAATAGGAATGTGTGAATATCGCTGGTGAATAGCTTTTGGTTCTTCCTCACTATGTCGGGGTATTCTTCGCACGATGTGCGTTGTGAGGAGATATGCATTAACTCGGTGCTAAAATGTGTTAGTCGTCACTTAAATAAAAGAACTGGATGAGTTTCTGATTGAGTCAATGAATGCGCAGAGTGCATGCTATTGTGCCTCCCTAGCGAAAGCTGTTGACCACAGGTCACTACCTAGGTCGTGAAAAGTTCCAGCAGACATGTCAGCAAATCAAGAAACTCTTTCCACATGCAGTTGTGTTAGGGTGCGTTCGGGCCACTCATTGTCAACTCAACCATTAACAGTGCAATTCCAGTTACCACTATTTCAAATCTGGACAAAACTTGGTCTGCGGGACTATGTTGTGCTCTGATCACGTTTCTAAAGACTTTAGACCTCTGCGCCCAGCCGTTTTCCGTTCATGATGACGTCTGAAAATGATGTAACGACGGGAATGCGCTCAGAAAAGCGATGATAAATCCGCAACCGTTGCTTATTTTTCGATCGGAACTTCGATTATGAAGATAATTATGCAATGTCATAGCTAAACAAGCTCATTTAACCGAGTTATTGGTGCCCTGTATTCGTTATAAACCTTTATTTTTAGGATTGCTGTTCAGGTATTTATCAGAATTCATTTAAAAAGTGAAGACCCACCACACACTAGGGCAGTGCGGCTGTGATTCCAGTCGGGGCGGACCGCCGCGCCGCGGTGCTGGCAGGCGGCCGACCCCAAGTGCCAACCGGCCCCCTAGCGACCGTCCGTTCCGTGCCGATGCTGTGCGACTTCAGACGGTTGCAGCCATTGCTCCCAGTGATGATGGCAGCGCGGTAATCAGCCCTCTTCCTCACGCCAAATGCCATCAGTCGTCTCAACCGTGGCTCAGTTTAGCGGCGTAAGCTTTGTCTGCGCAGACGGTCCCACGTGCACAGCTATCACGTGCATGCCTTTCAAAAAAGAGTTTGCGTTAACCCGTTTAACCTGAAGCATAAAAAGACCTATAAACCACTAATTCCTGAAAACTCAGTTTGGCACGTCGCAGGCGCATACAATTCTTACATGACGCATACGAGCTTCGCGTGTCTTCCACATGTCCTATTCTTGCGTGAATAATCTATCTCGGTTTTGTGATCATCGATGCATAATGATATGTATAAAAATATACATTAAAAATCTGAAGAAGTGCGGAGCAGGTGCACCCGGTTGCCTCTCCCTGAATACACGCCTGTATGTTTTTAAATGGCAAACACGTGCGTCATTATCCCATGCACACCTTCACGTGAACAACTTGGACATGTTTAATTGTGGAACTGTGACACGTGCTTACACTAGCGTATGAGCGCGGTAAAACATGCAGTGGAATTTAACGGATCTCGCAGTTTGTTAGTCTTTATCAAACCGTAATTATTGTTCACATCCACTTAGACCTCACAGTCCACATTCCCTGGTAAGGTGATAACATAGCTAGTGCTGTCAAGTATGGTAGCCAAGGCGGTATAGCAGGTTCATAAGGCGTAGGTCAGCCATCCTAAGGAATGCATGGTGGGAGAGAGCAAGGGTCACAATGAGGCCGGAATGTTTCTGTTCACGCACATCTACCCCACCATTTTCTCCCTGGCAAAAGTTGTGGTGCCTAAAATTGTGGAGACAGGATACACCTTCAAGCATTATAAAACACATCAAGCATCATGGAGTTTTTTTTTAATCGGAAAGGCAAAATGTCGCAATCACATAGATAAGACAGTAGTACTAGCCTTATTCATTGGAGAAGACCAGGAGACTGGTGATATTAGGTTGGGTTGATATTTCTGCAACATGCCTTCATCGAAGCAATAGCTGAAGTGAATTCAGGAATTCAGGAATTCACGAATTCACTTCTGCTATTGTTTCGATATAGGCATGTTGCCGAAATATCATGCCAACTATATTTCTATTCTCCTGGTTTTCTCCGAGGAATAAGGCTAGTGCTACTGTCTTATCTATGTCAACAATGATCCTCGCTAATGCACTTGAACAACTTACGTAAAATGGCATAATCACATACATCTGTTGATTCAGGCCAGTCCACAGGTCTTGGAATTGTAAATTTGGGGTAATCACCGCTGGACAGGTCAGCTAAGGTTGCGACGTCCGGTTTAAAACGTGCACAAGCACGTCACAGGAATGGGTGCAAAGTGGGGCTGGGATGAGGCTCATGGTCAGACTATAGAAATGTGCTCTTTTCGCGCGCTCGTATTTTTATAATAAGAATAGGCACAAACAGCAATAATCTGCATAATCAAAAGTGGATGTCATTAAGAATAAAGTGGACGACTTTGTCCTCGCTTAACATATGAAACCAGTTTGAGAGGAGTAAATTTCCTGACTGCCAATGTCTGTTTGGACCTGCTGTTATTTTCTCCTTTCGTGTACAATTTGATCTACTCGACTCATCCAAAGCATTCGACAAACAGCTTGTACGTTTCCTAAAGGTATCATGCGTCTCAGCATGTTTCTCTTAGGGGAGAACAAATGTTATGACTAAGTACGTACTCCGGGCGGCTGGAGAAGCATTACGTGCCTGAAATATTGCCTGGCAAGAATAGTGAAGAGCGCACCATAAAACATTCAAGCAATTCGACTATGTTATCCAGCCACTAATATGCTGTTCTTTAGTTTCACATCACACCAAAAATTACGTGGAAGGATCTCTCAGGTAGAGCGGTAGGTTCAGCTCTTAGCAGATTACTGCATTCGTGACGTACTGCAGCCGTATAGAAAAGCCACCCGCTGGTTGTAGTAATTCCAACTGTAAGGTACACAGTGTAGTTCAGTCTACCGACAGTATTGACTTCATGTTCACCACAATCCTACAATAAGTTAAGGCAACCTGGACTGCTTCATGACACATTCTGGTACGATGTCTATAATGCGCTGTTGTTGGCAATGGTCCACTAAATGTCACGTGGCTTAGAGGTCGGAAGACGAAGATAAGAGCTTAATGCTTTAAGTGTGCAGAACCTGATTGCTCTTCATGAAGTCACTACATTTTTCATATCACCACATGTGCGCAATCCAGAGCGGTTTGTCAACAAGGGAGCACAATGTTATGTCTGTTACATTTGCTGGCTTATTGTCGCGAATGTCACTTTGGCTTGAGATGGGTGGTAGCTCAACTTTTCTGGCGTTCACACATCTACGGGCTGACCTGAAACATAGCACCACAGCGCGGTTTTAATGGATGAGACTGACAGCGTGATTCGAAGCAGGCTTAGCTCGACGCACTGCTTCCCGTTTCATGACTCCAGTTCCATCTAAGTGAAAAGCCTGAAGAAACTCTCGCGCCTTGCCTATCGTCTCACTACGAATTCCCA